CTTTTTAACTTCTACAAACCCTTTTCATTTTGCTAATATTATAGCTTATTTTAATATTATACAATTTTCTACTCACCTAATCTCTTTAATTTTTTTTGAATATTATTAATCTTATCTCCCACAAGCTATAAAATATATTTCCAAAAAACTTCTAATTTCAACAATCAATACAGATCTTTTTTATCAGATTCTCAAATACTTAAAATTCCTGAATCAAATATTTAAATACCTGAAATTTCTAAGTCAAATTTCCAAATATCTAAAATCTTTGAGCCAAACTTTCAAATATCTAAAATTCCTGATTCACTTTTTCTTTCTTCTTAAACTTTATTTATCAAATTTTTAAATATATAAAATCTCTTATTTATTTTTCTTTTTTTTAAACTTTTCTTTTCTTTTTTAAATCAAAACACTACTACTATTTTATTAACAATATTATCTACTTTATTTTAAATTTTATTAAAATTTCAAAATTTTGCAAATCTTTCACATATTAAAAAAAAAATAAAAATTTTATTATAATACACTCTTTTACTACTTAACAACTTTAACTTTACTTTATTAAAACTTCATAATTCTTTTATTCAAAATATAAAATTCTTTACTATTTACATACTACTATTCTACTCTTTTAAATCTTTTCATTGGGATTTAAATTCTCTTTTTTTATTAATTAAAAACAAACTTAATAATTTTTAACTCCAACTTATCTAAAAAGAAACAAACTACTCCTTACCTAAATGTTTTTTAAGCAACTCAATCTTGTAACTTAAAACATTCTTCTCTTCTTCTAAATTTTGCAAATTCTGTAATAATGCCAAATTCTCTCCTCTCAACATATTAAACTCAGCTTTCCATATATTATTGGCCTAATTTAAACTTATACACACCTCCAACATTCTATCAGAAAATGTTTCTAAAAAATTCTTACTTTCTAAAATATGAGTTTACTGACTTTAAAAAAATCGGTGAAGGAAGATTTGGAACCGTTTACGAATCAAAGTGGGAAAAAAATGGCGGAATAAAAGTTGCACTTAAATGTCTCAAATTTGATACAGATACACCAGAAAAAAACGAAATTCGACAATTTGTTAGAGAGGTATTTGCTGATTTTAAATTATTATGCCTATATATTTAATCAAATTAAATTCTTATTTTAAATAATATTTTAAAGCTCCAACTCTTACCAATAGTTAGTTCTCATTCTCACCCAAATATTATTAAATTTTATGGCGTTACTAAAGGTCTATATTTTTTTATTTTATTTTTTTTGAAATCATAATCAATAAATTATATACAAACCAAATATACTGTTAATGGAGTACTACACTCCAGAGTATTTTAGGAGTAGAAACTACTCCATACCAATGTGGTTTATATGCTACACCGTTCTAGACTGCTAGAGAAGTTAAATAGAATGATTTATATTTCAGGGCTACTATAGTGCGACTCCAGATTATAATATAATATTTTTAATCAAATGTTTATATTAAATATAAAAAATTTGAGATGATGATCAATATTATAGAAGTAGAAGTTGTTATAAATATTAAATTAACAGATAGGAATTTAATATGTAGTAGTAGTTCTGGTAGAGTATACTCCACAACACTCTGGATCACTCCGTTAACAGCCTATATAGTTGACTCTCTCTGAGTGTAGGTCGGGAAGGAATATTATGCATTTATGGAGAATCTAATAATAATCTGTACTAAAAGAGACAACCACACTTTAAGAGAGTCGACTGAACCATCAACTTTAATAGTTAAAGATTTTTTAATTAACAATGATAATATTCGTAGATCCTTCAGAAGAATATTATAAAATAATATTACAATTTGCCGAAGATGGAACTTTGCGTGATTACTTAAAAAAAAAATTTCTAGAATTACAATGGGACCGTAAATTACAAATTGCAAAAGAAATAGCACAGGGGCTTGAATTCTTACATAGCAATAATATTGCACATCTTGATCTCGTAAGTACTGTATCTTAAATAATTTAATTATACTTTTTATAACTACTAATAACCAAGCTTATAATAGCATCCAAATAATATACTAGTTCATGGAGGAAAAATTATGATTGCAGATTTTGGTCTATCAAAACAGATGACTGAATCAATAAATTCAAACTCAGCAATTTTTGGGATGCCAGCATATGTTGATCCGCAATGTTTGAAAGAAGAGTCAATATACAAGCGCAACCAAAAATCCGATATCTATAGCTTTGGATTTATTCTCTGGGAAATTTCAAGTGGCAAAACACCATTCCAGGCATACAGGTCTGCAGATGCGATCCACATACTTATATACCAAGGCAAAAGAGAAAAACCTGTAAATGGTACGCCAAAGCAATATGTTGATCTCTATACAAGCTGTTGGGAAGATGATCCACAAAAACGCCCTAAAATTGAAGAGGTCCTTGAAATACTTAATAACCATGTTTCTCTTGAAGATACAATATCTAATGGTTCTCAATATTTGTCAACTCAAGATTATAGTATCATCGAATCTAACGCTTTAGCTAACGGAAGCTCATCAAAAGTTAATATGATTGATTTTAATACTGTCAGTATACAAAATCATAGGAATATTATTTTAAATCTTCCCCAAGTTCATATTAGTGGTCCTGAGTATGAATAATTTTGATTTTATAGTATTATATGTAAAAAAAAAAAAAAAACTGTAATAGAACATTTTTAAAAAAGTAGTAATAAGAACATTAATTAAAAATTTTGAGTACATTTATTGAACAAATGTTTGTACTTGTTTCTTTTTCCTAATTCTATCTTATTCTGAATCTTTATAAAGGCGCAACTATGGTAGGTTTTAGAACTCTTAAGAGGTAATGTATTTTAGAGCAAAAGGATGTTCTGGAGTCGATGAATAATCAATAAAAAATTGAATACTGGAATAAATTTTATTAAAAAATTTTATTAAAATGTTAATTGGACATCATTTATCGGGAATCAGTCAATTAAATATAGTGCCAATTTTATAAATACTGATTCGTTCGCTTTTTTTTCTTTTTGTTTAATTTTATTTTAATTAAAAACGGATTTTGATTTAATATTGAAAAGATACATCTTCCATTAGGGTGTTAATAATCAGTACATAAGGCAAGGTACATAGTGGTGGTGATGATTTTTTTTTATGCAAATTTTCGATTCATATTAAATTAATATTAAAAACGTCTTTTTCAAAATTAATAACTCTTGCTGTACTTGATATTTTTTGATTTAGTAAACTAATTTTAATCTTTAAATACTTCTTTATCAAGTAATAACCACATATTTAAAATATTGTATCCGCATAAAGTCGAAGTAACACCCAGTAAGTTAAAATTAAATCGGGTCATTATTCAAAATATATACGTTGTCACACCTGGAATTTACCTCTTATACGAATTCAGAAGACAAAGCATTTGGAGTATAAAGACTACAAACTATGATTCGGCAAAGCAATAAAAGACATTGGTATTCAACTAATCAAAGAGAATTTACAAGGCTTTGGTGAAAGAGGCAACAATTCAATCGTATATGAAGATACAAGGTGTTGTATGGTTTTACTTATCTCTTTGATATCAATTTCGTACAAAATGACACTTGATTTCGTACATAATGGCATTAAATTTCGTACAAAGTGACATTCAATTTCGTACAAAGGACATTTGAATTCATACAAAGCGACACTCAAATCCAAAATAACAATTAAAATAGGGTTGGTTAAATCGCGATATCTCGTGATGTAACAATCAATAAAGATGGTACCAAAATCATCTACACTGGGTTACTTCGCAAGAAATATCACGATTTAATCAAACTTATTTTAATTATTATTTTGTACGGATTTGAGTGTCATTTTGTATGAAATTAAATGTCCTTTTGTACGAAATTGATGTCAAAAGGGATATTAAAACTTATTATAACATTTGTGTTTTTCCTAGATATTCTATAGAATAGTTAAGCAAACTCTGCTAAACTTTACTAAATATCATGTGAATGTATTAAAAAATTAATAATTACTAATCATTAGTGAAGCTTATTTTTTATATTGCCCACTTATTCTATAAAACATTCTTTTTTTTTATGATTTTTTTTTTTAATTCAGCAGTCTTGCCTTTACTTTATTAGGCAATAATATTATACTTTGAAATATTAACTTTTCAAGGAGCTATTCCCCCTGATACCTAATTTACAAGTATTGGCTCACCTGGTTGTTCAAAGAATACCTATGTGCAACCTGCTATAGTAAGATTTACCTCTATACTAACTTATCCTACAAATGGATTTATTAATATCTTCTCAGATGGTTCTTACAGCCTGTCAAGACTACTAATTAAATTTTTCACCATTTTGCCCACCTTTTATCTAGCTTAAAATTTTACTTTTGGTTAATTCTAAACCCATTTTCCATCTTGCTTCAGTCTTGTTTTTCTTACTTTTTCTTTTATGAAGCTTATCATTTAGGTCTTTCTTTTCACTTACTTTCTTTTTCTTTTTTTTATTGAACTTCTTTTTTTCTTTGGTATCTGCACTGGATCTTTTTTTATGATTTTATGTTATTACAATTATTATTTTACTTAATAATTTTAAAGTAAAATTTAATATATACAAAAATACAAATATATATATATATATATATTTTTAAGGTGAGGCCTTGCTCGTATCTTTATTGAATAATTTATATAAGCAATTACATAATAAAATTATATAAAAAACTTAACTTGTATAATAACAAATA